ACCAAAAGACAAATGATACTTACAATCTGCTGTACAGCTTTGCGTTATGAAACTGCAGTTACAGTTGGACTCCCACAGAAAAACAACGAAAAAGCCTGTGGAAGAAAATGTAAGACTTGGAGAAAATAGTCTATTATCTTATTATATTTTGTAAATTGCTGTACAGCTTTCTTTTTGGGGAAAAAAAAAAGAAAAAGATGTAAGATTGTCTTCCTTTTCAAATAATTTATTTTATACATACTGTGCAAATGTAAATAGTCTTGTAATTAATGTTCAAACCTGTATAAAATAGAACCTTTAATTGTAAAACTGTTTTTTGTCTAATGTTTTATTGGACCAAAGTTGTACTTTTTATTAAGTGTAGCGTGTTTCTGGTTGGCAGTTCTTTTCTTTTGTATGGCATGTATTTGATTTAGCTGCTTGTTCCATCACCATAACTGTAAAATAACCAAAACTGAACTGTACTGCATGCTTCACAGAACTCCTAACCCCTTTACTTCAGTAACCAATACCTTAACAACTGTAATATCTACAAAGTCATATTTCATATTAGTCTGCTGTTGTGATGCCATACTATGACTTACTAAACTGAAAATATTTTTGTGTAAAGCAAACAAAAAAGTTTTGCTCTTATATGGTGGTCTCGTAATAGAGCCTATTTTTTCCAACAAAATGCCTTTGAATGAAAATTCTTAAATTGTATATTGTCTATTTTAATATTAATCTATGGAGGGATATGTAAATAGTTGTGAATACAATGTTTAATAAATTTTATTGGTCATGTTATTAGTTGGAGTTTCTTAATATTGTAACATTGATAAAATATCACATCTTGTCATTCCTGAAGTACATAAAGAGGCTGAGTGAAAAGCTGAAAAAGAAATCCCGTGTTGTGAAATGTGATGCCTGTTTTTTTTCTTAATACTGTTAATGAGCAGAGAGTTAATTATTTATTAGTAGGAGGTTACAGATATTCATGAAAAAGATTTGTTACCCTCTAGCCCATAAATTATTCAGGAATGCTTGGGATCTGATGTCCATGAAATTACTTCTGAAAGAAATGGGGCTTAGGCAACAGACCCGTTTACCTGGAAAAGAGACGTAAAGTGCTTGGTGGGAGTTGATGTTTAGTTACTATTTGAACTACTACAGAGTACGTACTCCTTAGGCTGGCGTGAATGCCCAGGGTGCCTTGTGATGGGGAGCAAACAGGCATTGAACAAGAAGGGACTCTGTGGATAGCAGGATCCTTTCTTGTGCACATCACTGCTAGTTCCAGTCGAAAGTAATAGTAATTTGAGCACCGTAAACCCAATTAATATGTGGTTCCTGCCCTGTAACTTTTTTTTTTTTTTCCAGTTTTAATTTATTAGGTAGCTGTGGAAGGGAAGAAGTTGTTCCTGCTTTTATATAGGAGTGTCTTCCTGGCATCACTCAGAATTGGAGATGTGCTCAGCAAAATGTAAATATGATTCTTCTGAAAATAAAATACTCTTCTGAAAGTAGCTGTAAAGTTTTAAAATAATACAGATTTCTGTGTTACCTGCTCTAAAAGACAAGGGAGGGAATGGGAAAAGCTACAAGTGTCACCAACTAGTAAATGACTGTTAGGCTACTTCCATCGAATACTAAAAAGTTATATATCTGCAAATGGGAGATCCCTATCCAGGCATTAGGAAGTATGGGTTACGAATAATTCAAAGTATTGCATAAAGAACAGGAAGGACAAACGGTTGCAGGAGCATTGGCTGTGCAGGTGACAAAAATGCTTGGGATGGAGACAACTGGGACTTGGTCTGGTTTACAACGATACCTCAGGGGGTCTGAGTCCACTGGGGCTCTCACTGTGACACAAACAGGGGAGCAGGATGGCAGCAGGAGCAGCCCCACAGGCCTTTGGGAGCTGGCAGGAGTGCAGGGGGTCGGGGTGTTTACTGTAAAAGGGAATGTTCATCCTCTGGAAGCATGAACAGAAACAGGTTTGTGATAAAAGTGGTTTTGCAGTAACCCATTTTACAAGGAGATCCAAAACCAGGTGTCTCTGAAGGGTAGACTCTGTCTTCTTCACAAGGAGAGGCGATTTCCTACTACTGGTGTCTGTGGAACACATTTTGTGTTTTACAGTTGCAACTGTTCAGTAAAAGTTGCTCGGAAAAGAGGACTGACAAAACGTTTCAGTCCCTTAGACAATGATCTCCTGGCATCTCCGATGTGAATGCAGGATTTGTTCCAGTCGTGTCATTTATTTGTTTTCCGAGGTTCACTCTGAGGGACAATACCTGGTGTGTTGTTTAACGACACCCCAGTGTGGATTTCCTTCAACAAAGCGGTGCGATGTGTGGGGTAAGAAGAAGGGATGAGATGAATTAGAGTAACAACTTGTCGGGGCACGATGGCCGTGCTTCCTTCGCGGAGAGCGTCTCCCAGGAGGCCCGACGGCTACCCGGAGTTTCCAAGTCCCTGCCAGGTTCTTTCTGCGTTTTCCTCCCGCGGACCAGACTCGTTCCCTTGGTCCCTGCAGCCTGCCCGGCAGGAGGATGCCGCAGTTGTTTGAGATCCTGAGCGGGGCTGCCCCAAAGCCTCCTTCTCAAGCACAGCTGCTGCGGATTTACCGCCAGCCTCGAGTGCCCCGGGCGCTACCGCCGCCAGCGCCAGTCTCCCGAGCCCCCTCCTCTCTCAGGGCTCACCCGCAGCTCTGGGTGCGGGGCTGCCTCTCGCAGCAGCCTCTCGGTGACACCCAGCGGCCCCGGGCCGGCTCTTGCTTTTCTCCCCACACGACCTCCGCGCCCTCCCCTGCTCGCACTCGGGTCGGAGGCGGACGCTCACCCGCTCCTCCAGCGCCCGGGGTCCGCGGCTCCATCCCGCGCCTGCCCCCTTCCCCGCTCCGCGCAGCCGCCGCCCGCCGGCCCGGAGGGTCCCTCTGCGCGCGGCCGGCGGCGGGAGGAGGGTCCTGGCGCCTGACGGTGCCCTGAGGCGGGGCGAGGCGAGGCCGCGCCACCGCCTCCGCGCTGCCTGCGGCCGAGGGGGGAGCAGCGGCCGAGGCGTGCGGGTGCTGCCGCCGCTGCCGGAGCAGCGAGAGCCGCCTGCGGAGCGGGTGGTGCCGGCCCGCGGCGCCGTGCGGTGAGGCAGCCGCCGGGGGAGCGGGGAGCGGGGGGCGGCGGGAGGGAGCCGGTGGCCGGGGGTGAGCAGGAGGCGGCGGGGCCGCGGGTGCTCCTTTGTGGAAGGAAAGTTTTGGGGCGGCCCTGCGCAGCCGCCCGGAGGAGGAGGAGGGGGCGGCCGGGCCCCCACTGCCGGGGGATGGGGGTTTCGGCGGCGCTCCCCGTGCGGGGCCCCGCCAGCCCCGCGCCGCTTCGGCAGGGGGTGCGCGCCCTGTCACCGGCCTCCCGGGCTCTTGGCGGGGCCGTGTCGGCGGCCCGGGCCTCCCGAGGGCGGCGGGGAGCGGGAGCCGAGCGCCTGTGACCGGAGCGGTTCTGGGGGTCCTTCTGCCGCGGGGTGAGCCCGGCAGAGAGGGGGGAGCGAGGCCGGCCCCGGGCGGGGGGGCGCGGGCAGGATGATGCCTCGGGAAGAGGGGGGCGCCGGATAAAAGTCGCGGGAAAGGAGGGGGCAGCGCGGGGAAGTGGTGCGCGCCTGGCCCGGTCATCCCGGGGCGCCGGTGGGGATGGCACCGGTCGGGCTCCGCTTCTCGGGACCCCTTTATGTAAGGCAGCCCCTGGCCGAGGCGGTGCGGTGTTGAAAGGCGCCTGATCGCGCACCCGGCCGAGCATCCAGCCTGCCCCGCGTTCGGTGGCTGCCCCTCCGGAGAGCAGCACCCGCGGGTTTGAACCGTCCGTAGCCGAAGGGAAGCTTCCTTTGCTCCGGGTGCCAGGGAGAGGAAGCGGTGCCCTCGCTGAGGGGAAGGATCCCCTGCTCTCCAACCGTGCCCCCGGGTCTCGCACGGGGCGGGGGGGGTGTCCGGTCCTGCATGGGTACAGATGGCCGTGCGCCCAGCACAGCGAGGTCGGGAGTGTTTAATAACCATTGTAAGACTAATCTGACACAGGCTTAAATGTCCGGATCGTGCCTTATTTACACGTTGGCTTATTTTCTCCCTTTCGTATTTGCCAGTTGCTCATTGAGAGTGGTGGGGGGTTTTTTACTTCATAAAGCAGAAGAACATTTCTAGATACCAAAAGAAAGAAATCCAGGGCCCCATTAGCATTTTTCCCCCCCTAGGAGAACAATACAGGCTCACTGTAAGCTTGCCCAAACATGGGCTGCCTTTTATTATACATTGGTACGGTGCCTAGTGCAACACGGTCCTCTTCTGCCGGGGGCGCACATGCTGAGCAGGAGTAGAAGCTCGGTGGCACACCACTAATCATCGCCGGGCTCGTAACAAATACCACCTGCCGACAAGCTGGGTTTGCACAAAGGGGGAAAGGTGGAATGCTTTGAACCAGCCCAGCTCCTCTGCCTGTTTGAAGTAGCAGATGCTCGTCTTCAGCTGACTTCAGTCATTTGTTTGGCTCTTGAAAGCCGTTCGGAGAGCCCGGAACTTCATGGTTTTGAAGTACTGGTGTCTGTACCTAACAAAGAAGGAAGCTGACAGCGTGGTGGCTGAGCTGAGCGCCGGTGTGACATCTAACTGCTGGTTAAAGATGACACGGCAGCTTAACCTTACACGTGGTAAAAGGCTGCTGTATAGCTTTGGTCCTGCACACCTGTGCCTACCTTTAGCCTGAGGGCATACTACAGGAAACCTACCCTTCTGCTTTATGCATTGACAAGATTAGGTCTTCACTGGTGGCTTTTCTCTTCTGAGGCGTTTTTTTGTCGCCACTGCTTATAGGGTATCATATTTGACACTGCAAAGTTGAGATTGTTCACCTTAAGTTTATTGTAGCATTAATGCATAGGTGCAGTAGCAGAAAGCTTCAAATAAAATAGCTGCAGGAGGAGTGGTTGGGTTTGTGTTAAGCACCCCAATTTCACCCGGTATTAATCTCTATTAATCTTTATTGAAGGAGTTGCAGGGGAAGGCAATGGCAGGATTTAACTTGTGTCCCAATAGCCCTTTCAGTTGCTGTTTCTTATTTCAGTGCTGGTTGAAGGACTTGTGAAAATCACTCACCTGCAGCAACCATGAGGTCACAGTACATCACAGCGCCCACCATCACCATCTTCCTCTTCCTGCTGTGGACCCAGTCCTCAACAGGCTGCAATAAGGCTCTCTGTGCTAGCGATGTCAGTAAATGCCTGATACAGGTATGAGTCCTATTTCCTTTATTTGCTTTTATGTGTTTCAAGACACGGTTCTGAAGGTGTCTCTTGAAAAGATCCAGTGATACAAATAACTGGTATTTTATATTAAATAATGTCTTTTAAAGAAGCTGATTTGGTCTCCTGCATATCTAAATGCAGATTACCAACCATTTCACAGATAATGTTAAGTGCATGCGACAATGGACATGTTTCATTTCTTAATGGAAACATTTTCTAGTTGAGGATTATGATTGCTGGGTTATTGTTAGAAGCCATTTCCAGTCACACTCTTAGTTTTCAGGTTCTTCTTTATTAGTGATGCTATGAACAAGCAGCAATTTGAAACAGACATCTGCGGGCAATTGTACTTTTTAAAGTTAATTGCAATACCAGAAGTTCATATGTGCTTACAGTGCTCCCATATCTTTCTGAGGTGTTCTCCCTATCTACTCTCTCAACTTGCAGTCTGTCTGCTTTCTTTAATCTCCTGGCCCAGGCAAAGGATCAGTACTTGATGTCTGATGCCCTCCACAGCATCAGGTTTTTACAGTCAATTAGAAGATGGGGCTTTGAGCTACCTGGTCTCGTGTGAGGTGTCCCTGCCCATGGTAGGGGGTTGGAACTGGATGATCTGTGATTCTAAAAGCTCACATGAGAGAACAAACACAAGTAGGGGCAAAACTTGTCTTAGAGTCCTGAGGTGCATTCAGGAAAGCTTTTTGATCAGGAGGGACTGACAGCTGCTAATGGCAATGAGCGAGCAAGCTCTGAAAGTGCTATTCCACCTAAAAAGCATAAAACCCAAACAAACCAAAAACCCCAAACCACACAGATGTTTAACTCAAATCCAGATGCTGCTTTTGACTTGCTGTCTGTCTTCAGTGAATGAAACAGACTGAGACCGGGTTGCTCTTACAGCAGGATTTAAGCAGGAGTTGTCCTTGCTGTGGCAGCACATATACTAAAATTGGAGCGATACAGAGATCAGCATGGTCCCTGCACAAGGATGACATATGAATTCAGGAAACTTTCCATGTTTTTTTTTACTTGATGATCTTAAAGGTCATTTCCAACCTAGCTGATTCTAAGGTTCTATGTTTCTAAGAGGTATGGTGGGCAGCAGGACGGAAGTGTCTTTCCTAGCAAAATTGCAAGCAGGTCTGGTAACTACCAAGTATTTATTTATCAGTGGTGTATTGAGCATGCTTCTTGACTCCGTTTTGGAATAAGGAACCTCGATATGGTCAGTTGCAGCTTGTTTTAAATGAAGCTGCTTCTTTGTAAGTTGGAAATGCAGTAGCAGAGAGCACAAGTATCATGCGGTGGTAACGTGCTAGTACACTTACTGTAAATGTATGGTCACAGTCTGAAAAGCGGTGCTGAAGTGGCATGAAGCATTTCTGTGCTCGCTTCAATTCATTGGCTTCTGTATAAAATTTGTCTGGTTTACAACTAAAAATACTTGTCAGATTCACAAATCCATCCTGTGAGATGACGACTGACTGCAGGCTGAACTGTCTTCTGTCTGGCGTCTGCACTGCTATAGCTTAGAAAGAAAAGCCCCCAGAAATGGAAATTGCTGCTTCTCCTTAGCCCCACCATTGCCTGTGGAGTTGTTAAATAAGGGAGCAAGAAAGAGGCTTTTACTTCTTCAGAGACAATGCCAGTATTGTTGTTGGTGCGGTTGGTATTGAGCGCTGCCACAAACTGATGCGCTCAGAAGTTCCTTCTGTTGCATTTTTTCATAGAACCTTTTAGGTCTGAAACCTTTAAAAAGTAAGGTGCCAGTTGTGCACTGGATGTATGAGCTGTTTGAATAGCAAGCACAGTGGTACAGATCTGTTGATTCGGGGGAAAGCTGTTGGTCCAGATGAAGGGGAAAACAGGAGAGACCTATTGCTTCCTTTTCCTGTGATGCTGATGGAGCCCACAGATGTCTCCTTCCCAAGTAATCACCTAGCTTTTATAAAGCCAAGCTTGAGACAGTAGTTGTTGAAGGAGTTGCAGATTAAGACTTGGGAGTGTAGAGAGTGGGACCTCAATATTAGTTCCCTTGAAGGCTTTGCACATAGTTCCTTCCTACGTCTTTGGGATTGGAGCATTGAAGTCAATACCTGACTGTTACCGTGCTCTTCAGGCAGGCCACCGAGGCTGGCTTGCACACGACGTGTGTATTGCAGTATTTATTCCAGCACATCTGTTGCTGACTTGAACGCCTGGGTGGTTGTGATGTTCCCATGTGTGGAGGGGATGAGAAGACCAGCTACGCTTGCTGGGTGGAGCGTGTCCGCGCAACATGGAGGAAATCCTTGAAGACAGAAACCTCTAGGATGAGACGTTCCCACAATTGTTCATAGCAGATGGGTTTGAGGCGAGCTCCAGGGTAGCTTTTGCAGTGCAGAGCTACCTGCAGTTGTCAGGCTGGAGTAGGATGTCCATGTTGTGCTGGAAGCCGAGCTTTGCTGTCTCATGTGTGACAGCTCTTTAAACTACTGCTGTCTGCAGGAAACTAACAGTGCTGCAGTTCAGGCATGGATTTCAGATCCTTCTGGAGAGGGTTTGTTTTGCAGAGAACACAGTTTTCTCTCCCAAACACTACGTGCCCGCAGTCACCTCAGCTGGTGTGGTATCGCTCTGATTAAAACCTCTCTTCATCTTTTTCTTCACCTCCTGTTAAACTTGTGTACAAACTTGTCAGCTTGAAAGGGTTTCCCAGACTTTTTAACCCTGTGGTATGAGATGAACACCACTCCATAACTTCAGGGCTCAGGCATCCAAAGGCTACTTCTTGTGTGTATGTTGTCGCTGTAGTAGGTAACACAGCTGGGTTAACAAAACAGTTTTGTCTGGTTTGCTTCCAGGAAACTTTCTGTTATTAAACTGTTGTAGGAAAAAAACCATTAGCTCTTTTTCTTTTACTCCCCCTTCCAGTTTGCAGAGATGTTGCCAATGCCTCCAGGTCCTGTTTCTCACTGCACCGAGAAAGCAGTCTCTGTCATTTAGAGAAAGCTTTGAAAAACAGGCAGATGTTAAATACCTTGTAAGAATCTTGATTTGCTCTCTGGAGCAGAAGTGTCTTCATTGTACAGACATGCCCGCTTCCTATTCAGTACTGTATTTTTAGACTGAGAAGCTTATTTCTTGCCTAGCAAAATACATTCTCCAATACACCTTCAGTAGGTCAGCTTGGGAAGTTGCCAAGCTGACTTATGAGTAATATTTTCTTCCACTGACGCCTCACCACCCCCAAGCCATCAAGAAGGAGCGTTTCTCATTCTGCCTCACTTCACCCACATCCCATGTAAGCGTTCTCTTAAAAAGATTTATCTGTACAAGTATCCAGTGGGGATGAGTCAGGCAGAAGGACTCAAAAGTGGTTAAGGAAACCGTGTACATGCAAGCACACATACGGAAGAACAGTCAGTTATTGCTCTAAAGAGCCTGTCAGACTCTGAGAAGGGGGCAGCTGAACAAATGTACAGAAGACAAATTAATTACATTGCTCTTTCCTCCCTCCTCGCCCTCCAAATTACTGCTACTCATAATAATAATAAAAGAAAGGCTTAAAAAATTGCACTGCTCATAAGCCCTACCTAGGAAATGAATTTGTTGAAGTAACTGGTAGGTATAACGATGCCATCCCAAGATAATGCTTACACACAGAGATGCTAAGCACACATTTCTTCACTATGTTGCAAGCACGGAACTCAAGGCTGCGTTTAATTCTGTGAGAATACTCATAGAAAACTGAAACAACTTAAATTTAGTGTATTTTCCAGCTTTGATCCTCACACTACATTTAATAGGTTATGGAGAATCACCTCCTCCCACGAGCTGGTTTGTTGGTGTTGCAATGTCTTTAATAAGTGTAAAGTCGTTTGCCCAGTTTCCCTGTTGATGAACAAATCTGTAGGATATTTGAAATGCTCGTATGTGTTAATAGTATTCTCTGGCCAAGGTAACAGTACTTTACTCATGGTTGGTTTTAAAGTTATTTTATCGAGGCTCTTTGTTCTCAAGGCTGACACAACTTGTTTATCAACCAGTAAGATAAATATTTGGCAAGTGCATCGTTCATTCACATAAGTCATCTTTCTAAGTTTGTGGTGTTTCCTCTTGCGGAAAAATTTGTATCTCTTACTAACAATCCCGCTTTTCATCTTTCACTTGGAAGCAGCACAGTCATAGGTGGCATTAATAAATTCTGAGGATGCAGAAGTAAAAAATCTTGGAAGCTTTTCCCTCTGTAGATAAAAATCCAAGCCTCACAAAGGCTGCATGTTGCAGAAATGCATGTGGAGCATGCTTGGTCAGTCAGTGGGGCAAACAGCTCACATTAAAGCGTGCAGGCAGCAGCGTTACGTAGCATATGGAGTAGTTTGTGAATTTTGTTTCTTTGTGGGCTTCAAGAAGATTTGTGATCTGGGATGAAGTGAGTGGAAGGCAAATAAGAAATCGATCCATTTATACTACATTAAGACATTGTAGCGTGCCTGCAGCGCGTTTTGGGGTTTGTTCAGTTTCAGTTCAGAACAGGCAGTGTTGCAGCTTCATATGCTGAATTCTTAAACCCCATTCCCTAGCCAGACCTTGGTCTGGCCTCTCCCTCTGAAATGCACTCATTGGTCTCCTGTGGGATCATGTGAGCTGGTGTGAGTGAGGGGCAGTCCCTGTGCACCTGTAGCCAGTGGACACCTGCATTTGCTGGTGTTGCCGAATAGAGAACAGGGGTTATACACGATCAGGTGCATCTCTGTGCCTTGCCTAGCACATGTGCTCCTAATATTTGGCATCAAAATGTCTCTTTCTCCCCTTCCTGATGCTTCTTAACAAATTTCCACTTAAAAAGTGGAATTTTGCCCCCTTGGCTTCTTCCCAGCGTGCTACAGCAAGACTTTGCAGATGATGTTTGTGTCTACCTGCAGGGAGTGTTGTCCCTGACCCAGCTGTGGTTACCTGAGGTGGAGCCTCTGGTGGTGACTCCAGGTTGGGAGAATTTCACACCAAACCCTCTTCCTGCCCTTCCCTTCTGTCCATGTGGGTCTCTGGACCACACCTCAGCATGTCACTCCCCTGCCTCTGGAGGACGAGATCAAAGAGCAAGGATGGGAGTCACCTTTTCCCTGGCCCATTGCACAGCAGAGATTTGCCTATGACGCTTCCAGTACAGCCAGGGGTGGGAAGGATCCCGTGGTCAGTGTTTCCAGTAACGGGATGTTGTTTTCTCACCAGTTGTGCGTAACATGATAGTAAGGCAGACGTCATCACAACCAAACTCTTAGGACAACCAAATGTGACTTCTTGGCTGTCCACTTTTTGCACGGTGGTGTAATTCAAGCCTGTATTATTGCCATGTAGCCACAGCCTTTTGGCCAGACTGGAATTACGAGTATGGATTTGAGATAGAGGGAAGGGGACCACCTGGTTTTTGAATTTTCTTCACCCATGTAGGCTGTTTCCATGCTTTGAGGTCCACAAGTCTCCAGCAGGTTTGCTAAACAAGCGCCTTCAGGTTTAGATGATATGAAGAGAAAGATTTGTCTTCTTGCTTCCACGCCTGTTCTTTTAGGCTTAATAATGGTTAAGGAAAAAGAAGTGTGTGTGCCATTGCACTTTCTGGAGGCTGCAGAAGTCTTTCATAATAGCAAAAAGGATTCAGCTGGATGTGGTTGGGGAAAATAATCTGGTCACTAATATTGGACAAAACCCTGCAGTCAGATGACTTAACTGAGTAAGTTCCTTTGAGAGCCCATGAATAGGTGTGATGGTGGATGTCATGGATTTTCTGGAGCATGTGCATGTGGCTTACAGTAACTTTTTTTTTTAGCTAAATTATAATGTACGCGCGCTATTTATGCATGAAGAAACATCCTTCTTTGAACTGCCTGCTGTGAAAACGTTCAAAGAACTTGCAGATTCAGGTGTATATAGAAGTGCACACACCTTTCCCATGAATAAACTCAAATGGGAGATTTAGGTTGGATATCAGGAAGAAGTTATTTGCCGTGAGGGTGGTGAGGCACTGGCACAGGTTGTCCAGAGAAGTTGTGGCTGCCCCATCCCTGGCAGTGTTTAAGGCCAGGCTCGTTGGGACTTTGAACCTGGTCTGGTGGAAGGTGTCCCTGCCTGTGGCAGGGCGTTTGGAACTAGGTGATGTTTAAGGTCCCTTCCAACCCAAACCGTTCTCTGCTTCTAATAGGATGTTTTTCTCTTCTAAATGCTGACTTCAGATTTGTCTTCAGAATGTCACCTTTAAAAAACGTAACCCAAAGTTGCAAAAGTTCTTTTTGTAAACTGAACTAAGTTCTTTGGCTGGAGCTATTGTACCATCTACTCACTGCATTAGAGCACTAAGCTTTTTTAATGCTGTAATTTGAGTTGTGGCTTGAGGAAGAATTGCTCTGCTGTGTTCACATTTTACATCTGGGATTGCTGCACTGTAATGAGTTTCTGTTGTTTTCAGGAGCTGTGTCAGTGTCGCCCCGGGGAAGGGAATTGTTCCTGCTGCAAGGAGTGCATGCTCTGCCTGGGCACCCTGTGGGATGAGTGCTGTGACTGTGTTGGTAAGTTTGTGTTTCTTTGGGATTTTCTTCTATTTTAAATTGCTTCCTCCTGCTACGGGCTGAGCTCACAGTCTTATAATAGAAGTAAAACATTGGGATAGAATCTGTGCTTTAAACATCTTGCAGCTCATTCTGTGGGCACTGAATAAGTTACTGTGGGGAGCCAAACACTGGAAGGCTGTATCTGCCTTGTGGAGTGGCTGTAGGCCAGGTTTTGCTTGGTTAATGTCATCATAACTGACTATTAATTTTGTCTCTAAAACATAAACTCCTTTTTGAATTGTCATCTTGAGGAAATTACGCAGGACGTGGTTCATGGGGTTGGACGCCATATGGAGGTTTCTAACTGTAAAGTGTACTGACAGATACCACACGGGGACAATTTTAGGTTACAGTTCCCTTGTGAATTCTCGGGGCTAATAGGAAATAGCCATGGCCAAAGTTTTCATCGTTCTTGTATGTGCAAAAAAAGCTCTTTGTGGAGGATGAGAAGGAGGCATACAAGTTCCTACTGTGGGATTAGCTGTAGGATAGCCTTAACCAGAACAGCGCTGTTACTAACAGGTAGTGTTTAGAGTGTACAGATCTTTGAAAGTGAACGCTGCCCCTGCTTGAGGAGGATGTATTCTACTTCCATCTCTTGTTTTAAATGTATTGGAAGGCTTTGTCCTCCTGTGGTTGCTGGAAGTCTCTCTCTGCAGCCATTCAAAATCCTTCTGGCTTCTGTGAAAAGGATGCATCTTGAGTGTTGTACCTGCTCTCAGCTTCTCTGGCTGGCTAAGCCTTGTCTGAATTCATGAAGCTCATAGCAGCTCATAGACCTCATAGCAGCCTTCCAGTATCTGAAGGGGGCCTATAGGGATGCTGGGGATGGACTCTTCATTATGGACTGTAGTGGCAGGACAAGGGGTAATGGGTTAAAACTTAAACAGGGGAAGTTTAGATTGGATGTAAGGAGGAAATTCTTTCCTGTTAGGGTGGTGAGGCACTGGAATAGATTGTCCAGGGAGGCTGTGAATGCTCCATCCCTGGCAGTGTTGGAGGCCAGGTTGGACGAGGCCTTGGGTGATATGGTTTAGAGCGAGGTGTCCCTGCCCATGGCAGGGGGGTTGGAACTCGATGATCTTAAGGTCCTTTCCAACCCTATTCTATGATTCTATGATTCTAAGCTGTTTAATGTCAAAATGCTCTTTTTCAGCCCATTGTCTCTGCTGTTCCATCATGATGTGAATATGCTTTCTGACATCCTGCTTTCTCTTTGGTTCTGGCTAGCTTATCTTTGCTTTACTCTTCAGTAAGCAGTGGACTGGCATGGTCCTGCGCATGTGTGATTCTCCCCAAAGGCATAAAGTGTTTTCAGCCCCTGCACCTGTGGAGGATATACATTTAGAAAGAGGCCCTAGAGTTTGTTTTTCTATTAGATCTTGGGCTCCCATCCCCTTTGCCCTTCCAGCATCATCTTGTGTTGGCATATTCAGTCATAAGAGTAAGGAATAGGATAGTAGACTGTTTTCCCAGTTCAGAACAGTTGTTTGCTGTAGAAATCAAGGCATAGTGTGCCAGTATCCTCTAGGGAGAGGAAAGACCTGCCTCTAGGGATTGTGAAGAAAGCAAGCAAATTCCACACACAGGTGGTTGGTTGGGGTTTTTCTTCTAACTCTGCAGATTACTCCCTGTTGTGCTGCTTTTCCCATGGTGTTATCCAGGACAGAAGATAATGAGGCTTTAGGTTCAGTTTCCAGTACTAAGTATACTAAGCCATCTCCTGACGGCTTTGCAGGTGCCTCAGACCTTGCTGGTTCTATGGTATAGTCCTGTTCTTCTCTTTAGCATAGGGTCTTCCTTCCTGTAGCCTTATTCAAATAAAGAAAGAGGAGTGCATGCTGTACCCAGCTCCCTGGAGACAGTTCTTGGCTGATACTTGAGCTGATATTTAAGTCTCTTTAAAAGCTAATCATGTCTAATGTAAAAGCAGATGGGTTGCCGTGTCTTTCACGTCATGTCTGCTCTGAAGTCAGGAATTACCTCCTGTCATGCAGCACTGACTTTACTGATGCTCTGTCAATGCCCTGTGTTTTGTGTGGATGTTATCTCCCTTCTCTGACAGGGAAAAAGAGACTGGAGGAGGGAGAACAGCAACAGGCTCCTCTGACCTTTATTCTTCTAAGCTTTGTGAGTTAAGCTCTTCTAGTCCCTCCTGTAAAGGCTTGTCTGCTTCCATCATTTCAATAGCCCATTTCTGCATCTTCTCATCCATTTCAAAGCAGTAGTGTAGACATGTTTGTTCTTGACCAGTTGCTCATATAAGTTTTTTATTTTAATTTTATAATAATTATATATAAATATAATTATAATTAAAATACTTGTTAAAATAGTAAGAGGGAAGGGTCTTTGTGGAATGAGCAGTTATCCGTTAAACTATGAGCGACGGTTTCTTGTTACTATCTTTAGGTAATGTTTTCATACTGCATTGGTACACACACAAACTCGTAACACTTTGCAATACTCTAATAAACAATCTGGGTGTTGTTTTTATCTGTATTCTTCTTACCAGTGAAATCTATTTTCTGAATCCCACCTGACAGAGGGGGCCCCCAGAAAGGCTCATTGGTTTCCATTTCACAATGTTCATACATAGACATCAGCTAAAGTAGGTCTCTTGAAGTATCTGTACAAACCCCTTACCCAGTTTGATACCTTCCCAGTTCATTTTCAGGTAAGCATGCTTTATTCCAGTTGCATGATGAATATTCCATGTGCTTACTAAGAAGCATTAATGCAGGGATAGAAATCTTTAGTTAAAGCAGTGAGTCTGGGAACATCTTTGAAGACCTTTTTATAGGAGCAGACTGTCTTGTGGTGTTCTTGTCATTAAACACTGGTAATGCTAACCACTTGCTTAGGATTTGCCAGGTTTCATACTCATCATCGTGGATGAACTTCCCTCTGCTTTGTTCATTATGGAAATCCACCTCCTTAGATTGAAAAGATTGTGTGTTTGTGTAAGGTTCCAGTTAAACATGGTTTCTGAAGCTAGAGTCCTAATGTATCTGCTGAGCAGGAGATGCATGGGTTGTATGGAACAGGTAGTCTTTGAACGTTTATGTCCTATATTGCTTTGATACTTTAAGGATTGGTGTGCTTTGCAGCTGTAGCTGTCCAAAACTGTTTCTGTGACACTACCCAAAATGTTATCCAGATGTACATGAGGAAAATGGATTTGTGTGTCTCTTGCCAGGTGACTTCTAATAGTATTTCATGGCTTCTGAGTTTAACTACCTATGCAGATCCAACTTTTCTTTCTAACCTTGACTGTTTCAGTGTTAGATTAAATCAAGATACCCTTCAGTTTCATTGCTAGTAACAAATGTTAGTTATGTTAGTGTTTAAATGGTTAATGAAAAACTAGCACCTGCACTGCACATCACAAAAATACTTTGTAGGAAGTGGCAGACAGAGAAAAGACTACAAAGTTTCAAAAAAGATACCACAAAAGATGTTGGAAAGTAACAAAGAGGTAAGCTGGAAACAAGCATTTTGCCTGTGGTGACCCCTCCAACTAAGTAGCAAAACGAGGTTCATCTGGGCTATCTCTGAGCAGGTAAAGTAATGCTCCCTCCTTGCTCAGTCCTGATAGTGATCTTTGTGTCTCTGGCAGATGACTAAAAAGATCTAGCGCACTGCTGCAGCAGGTGAGATCAAATACTTGAATTGTGATCAAAAGTTTCATGTACCTCAGGACTTGTCAAGATACTATCTTCATCCAGTCACAAGCTTTCATTCCAGATTCATGCTAGTATCGATTATACTGTGCTTTGTCTCTTTTCCCAGGGGAAACAAACCTTCCATTGAGATCTTCATATTCTAAACTGTCATTCTAGCATAAAAATGGAAGTGAAGTGCTGTTTGGACGAGGTTTTTCTTTTCATTTGGATCTCACAAGTTACAGGTGTGTTCTGTGGAAGCCTGCAGAGGTGTGAAACCTGCCATTGCAGAAAGCTCCTCCTGCTGTATTTGGTGGCAGTTTTGCTACTGAGCTGAGAGTGCAATATGTATGAAAGGGCTCTGTTCTAAATGTTCTAAGTATTCCTGCCTGTTTCAAGGAGGAGTTTGGGGAGTTTCGTGTAACTTATTGTTTCATTCCTCTGCAGGTATGTGCAATCCTCGCAATTACAGTGACACACCTCCAACATCCAAGAGCACTGTTGAGGAGTTGCATGAACCAATTCCTTCCCTTTTCCGGGCACTGACAGAAGGGGATACTCAGCTGAACTGGAATATTGTTTCCTTCCCCGTGGCAGAAGAACTGTCACACCACGAGAACCTCGTTTCCTTTTTAGAAACAGTGAACCAGCCACAGCATCAGAATGTCTCTGTTCCAAGCAACAATGTCCACGCACCTTACTCTAGTGACAAAGGTATGAGTGTAGTGTCCTTCCTCTCGTCTCTTCCAGGAGCCTTCTTGGTGCATACCCTATGCTTGTCTGTGCTCACTTCTTCTTTTCCCATGAAAAACTGTGAAAAGTTCAGTCTAATATTGCACATGAAATAACAAAAGGAGTGAGGCAAAAGTATTGAGGAACATGGAAGGTGGTGTTAAAGTGTCTGGTGATCTTAGAAGATGCTGAACCACATGAGTTTGTTACATCTATAGCTCATCCTGTGGCATGAGGCAGATTGTTCATGTTATTTTGCATGCACCAGCACATGTATCTTAGGAGAGAGGATAGACAACAAACTGTGAAACCAAACCAAGTATCAGTGCAGAGGCAGGCAACTAAAACACATGGCTTCAGAGGTTTGAGAAAGCCATGTGCCATAAACCGTTGTAACTGGAGTAGGTGTTTGTTTCTTTCATCTAAGTAGGCATAACTTGAACTCTTTAGGAGGATGGTTTGTAGTAAAGCTGAGTAAGATTAGCAAGATCTCTCTTTACACTGAGGAGGGATATGTGACAGACAAACTTAAAAATATGTGACAGACAATCTTAAAAATAAGCAATTTGAGGACTCATTGCTCTTTTATATCAAGGTTTTTGTATTCTTTACTTTAGAGGACAGACTTCAGACTATTGTTGGGGAGTGAGGGAGAGGATGAGAAATTTGAAGTAATGACAACAGTGGCATAACAAAGAAAAAATACTCTCTGCTTCTTGGTTTCCATACTGAACCTGAAGTACTTTTCCCTGCAAATCATTACATCAGACTTAAAAGAATCTCATAAACAGTTCATAGTAGAATTGCTGCTTAACAGGGAAAAAAGGGAATCTGATTTGCTTTATTAGTGTAATTAATGCTTTGCTTCCTTCCCAACACACACTTTAAATATTCATTACCTCATGTGTTGCTGTTGTGATGGCTCTTTTCTCTTGTCAATGAAAGATACCCTAATTGATGGACATGCTGCTTTGCCATGCCATTGTGAACCTTTGACCTAGTTATGTTTCTGAGTAGGACTGCTGTTGATTAAATTGGGACCGTAATGGCAACATCTCTAATTTCCTTTGGTTAAGGCACATTAGAAAAATAAATTAACTCCAGAACTGTGAAACCAGATGGTCAGAAAGCATCTCATTCATATGTTTTTGATGTTATTAAAACCTTTGCTTGCCTTTATGAGAATGATGCAGAAAGCCATGTTAAATGGCAAGCCACAAAAAGCCCTGTGTGCAAACACTACAGTATTTAAAGAGGTAAATTATATTTGGGGGAAAAAAAAATATGCTTAGAACAATCTTCAATATATCCCACTGTACTTAAGTACTGCAGCCCAGATGGCTGTTCTCTGTCAGTCCTTTACTACCATACCAACAGGATGGGCTAATGATAGTTTTGGATTAAACTTGGAATTTGAATTGCATCTCAAGGGTGTGGAGGAGTTTTGAGTTTAACAACAGGCAAATACATAACACTGCAATTTTTTCTTAGTCAAAAGTCTCCTTCATTTCACTTACTAAGACTGTATTAGAGATTAGGTTGAAAAAGGTTTTACTGGAATGATGACAGTCCAAAAACAGCAGTTATGTTTGGAAATAGTTACCAAATGCCACTGGTTTTCAGGTTTCAATAGACACTAAGAACAGAAATAAATGTCAGAGCTGTTCTTGTAATCATTGGCTGTGCCTCCTCCATCTTAGTGATCAGTGAAGAAGGTAGAAGATGGCTTTCAACATCATATACTTTAAGTATCTAAATATGTAAGCCTGTTGGGGAGTCTCTTTTCTTGGTCACAGTGTAGGTAACTTTCTCGTGCTCTGCTTTTTCAGAAGTCATTAAAGTTTGCTTATAAAAATGTGGATGATTCAAGCATTGAGAACAGAGAAGGTGGAAAGAAAAGTTGGGTGCCGGCCTTGGTCAGTTGATGTGTAGTATGGTGGAAGCAAGCACATCTGGGGAGTTGTACCTCTTGTGTTGGATGTTGTGTGAGCAAAAGCAGCAACCAAAATTTGGAGGGGTAGTAGGTCAAGGGCTAAAGAGCCTTGTGAGCATGGGCACAGGGAGGCAGCCCAGGAAGTTGCTGGAGCCTGATGGCTTCTGCCTATTGAAAATTCAGTCACACAATCAAGTCAGTGGTTTAACAAGCTAGCATGTGCTAGAAGAACCACTTGAACAGAGGCTGGGTTTGTGCATGTGTATGTGTGCAGGCTCAGTTGCAGTACATATAAGCATAGCCTGCAGTGGAAGAAACTGAAGACCGTCTCTTTACCCTTTCCTTCTCCCCAGCTGTGCTGTTAGGCTTAAGGGCAGATCTTGCAAATGGAGAAGTCTTTAAGGTGAATCGCTCAGCAGTTGTCTTCAAGGCTGTAATATTCAGGGATTAGAAAGATTATTCCTGTAAGCAGGGACACAGATGCTCTATGATTTCTTTAACAGGGCTGTGCCTACACCATTTTGTGGTTCTTCGTGGCTCTTTGTGTGCTTCACTCCAACATGGTGTGCTGGCAGCAGCCTACTGCATAACCAGTAATAAGGGAGGGGCTAATGAGAGGTAGATTTTGGTAAGGGGACAGTAGTCCCTCTGCTATCTTCTGGAATATATCCCCAATTTCAGAAAGGCTCTGCCTACAAATGCCCCTTGTTATGTTGTGTAACACAGTTCTGATTTTACTTTGGAGGGGTTGCCATGAAGCTGGTCCAGGGTGCCAGACTCGCTCAATGCAGTTCTGGGTGAGTGCCAGGAAAAGCAGCACCACCCCCAGGAGCCTACAAGCTCTGTGCCTGAGTGGCATGAAGCCACTGGCCCCGGGAGGGCGGCTGTAGATCCAGGAAGAGGTGGAGTGTGGTGGGATATAAAGCATTCCTTTCTCGCCCCAGCCTGCTGTGAGCCCAGCCGCCAGACCTTGAACTTCCCCGTTATTATCTTAATGAGTGTCTTCCCTTTCCTCCTGTGAATTGACTTTTTAACATTTTAGTTGCCAAAGTATGTGTGTGCTGCTGGAGCTGCTGCAGCTCTTTGTATCAGTAGTTTCTGACACTTAAGAGAGGATTGCAATGATTCTTAGTCTAGAGCTACAGTCATACTTTACTCTTTTTGCTTTACTTTCAGCTGGTACCCTCAGAGCTCTGAACTGTGGGTTCAGATGTTTAAATAAGCTTAATTGTTTCAGATGATGACAGGATGTTGGCAAGAGAGAGAGGGGAACTAGATAATCTTTTGGCAACTGATGAAACAAAATCTGTGTTGTAGTTAAGGGTTTCTGACTTACACAGCTTGGTGACACAGGGGATGGTGTCCACTCTGCATTTCTGCTCCCCTCCAGTGTCAGCCAGGTAAGAAGAGAGCTAGAAACCCACTAAAGTGGCTTCTACCTCTGTAGAAGAAGACTTTTATTTAAAACAATTAATTATTTGTATAAGTTCTGATTGGCATAAAATGGTATGGCTGCTGGATGGACAGTTGCCTCTTTAAAGTACTTTCAGAGCTACCAATAAATAGACAACCAGACAGCTGAACTCACATAGCACCTTTAGCTTCAAAGGTTGCATGCAGGGAACTGCCACTAACTCGGGAAGTTTTCTCATCTTGTAGATAAGCATTTTCCTTAACTTGCAAGAACTGAGTTGCTTTATCTTCTCCGAGTTGCTAAATTCCTCCGTAGTGCACTGATACAGCTCTCACTCGCAGCACAGACAGCATCATAGCAAAATCTGGCAGAAATACAAGTCTATTTCTTCTGGCCATTTTGAAATTAGACTTGATTGGGTTTTTTCTCCTATGCAGACTTTGTTGAGTACGAATTAGGGGGGGTGGGAGAGAGGGGGTGGAAATAGGTGAGAAGTTCACCTTCTAGAAGAAAAGGGAATGCTGCTTCATCCTTATCCCTCCCCACACCTGTAGTCTGTAGTCCTTACTGTGTGAAAATTGGCAAAATGCAAATAAAGAGATGTTACTGTACCGAGTAACATCCTTTTTATCTACGCTGAGGGAGCCGAGTGATGACTGTGTAATTAGGTTTGTGAAACAAGTTAAATACTCTCCACGATCCCAACTGAGCCTGTAGGTATGTATATTTCTCCCCTGTGTAACTGTTTCTGCAGCCTATAAAGAGGGATTTAATGCTTGAGGAGAGGAACTCTGCTGCTTTCAGTAATTCAGCCTCTGCACAGGCACTGCTGAGGAGGGGACCTGGAGTGTCCTGCGATAAACAAAGAGCACCCTGGCCAATCTGACTCAGTCAGACCTGGCAAGTGTCTGAGCGAGTGAGACTTCAGAAACAGTTTGGTAGCAAAGACACGGCACATGTCCTTCAGCTGCTTACAAGAGCTGCTGGGAACCAGCCAGACCTGCTGCTGATTCTTGCTTGCTGTGTACAGTCTGTTCTCTCCCCTTCGCAGCATTTTGGACTGGTCCTTTAGGACCTAACCCTCTTGGCTTGTGTGCAGGTGGAAATAAACTTCCTCCTACAGTTAGGTCAAAATTAATGCTGCTGCCACCTTAATAAGATTAACATCTGGCTTTGGTTGCGTTTTGGTCTTGGGAGAGTGGTCAAGGAGACCAGTCTTACAAGACCTGACTGCTGTCATCTGGTTTTGCCAGGGTTATGGACCTGGTGCTGCTCGTCCTCCAGCCTCCTTCCCCCCAAGAGAGGTCTTCAGTCTCTCAGTTCAGTGTCATTGATGTTTACATCCTAGAAATCATAGACTCTTCTTCCACAAGGTTTATTTCATATTCCAGCAGGCATTAGATGATGAACCGGGCTTCTCCAGGACTACTAACTGGTACTAACATGGAAGAGGCTGTCACAGATGAGGTTAACATGAAAGAGAGCACAGATGTCTTCTCACACAGAGGGCACTGGTCATTCTCTGGTGTGAAGACAGCCTGCAAGTGCTGGGAACAGCTAGCCCACCTCAGAGTGTGCACAACTTTCCTGACAAGCTTTCCTGACCTAGCCTTTCCTCTGTGTGTTACAAGTCAGAGTGCAGTGATCAACATGATAGCAGTGAGCACTTCTGACACCCCCCTGGAGAGGGCTCTGGTTTCTTTAAAGGGTTGCTCTACTACAGTCTAGAGTGAGCCAGGAGTCATTTTGCGTTTGCAAGATGATCCAGAGACTAGGTCAGTCAGGTAGAGATGGCATCTCAAAAGCTGATTTTGCAGAAAGAAATCTTTCTGGATTAGCCTGGATTGCCTGTTTGGAGGTAGAATCTCTGTGCCTCCAGCTGTCACCTTCTAAGACTGACTCCACCTATGGCTTTTAAGGTTAAACTTGAGAAGAAAACTAGTAATAAACTATCAAAGAAGTGCAGTGGTATTAAGCAGGAGGGTACAAAGATGTGTCTTAGAGGCTTCTGTAACGTCCTGTACTTGCACACTGGCACTGAACTGTATGACTGACAGGACACTTGCTGGTGCTTATTCCATGAGGAATGCTGCCTAGAGACTCACCTCTGCTTTCTCTGACCCTACCCTTCCACTGAAAACCTCCTGTGAGGAACGAGCAGAACATACCTAGGAATGTCTGGGACTCCTGAGAATGGGTGGTGTCTGCTCCTCTTGGGACGCTGACAATCTGAGCTGTTTGTTGCTGGTGACTAAATGTTGCCAAGTGTGTCCTCCATAAGAAGATAGAGCTGCTGTATGGTCTCTGTGTGGATTCTTGCCTTCAAGGCTGTCATGGCTATATCTCCCTACCACTTTCCAGCTTTGGCCAAGCACTTTAGGTATATACGCAGCTGGTATGTAAGCGTATGCATCCATTTTGCTCTTTCCTTCTCCCCTTTGAGAACAAAATATTGCTGTAGATAGACTGGTTGTTTTTAGCAGAGGTTTGTTCTTTGAGAACTCTTTTCCTCTGGTTGTTGTGCCACAGGCTCTATTATAACGAATCATAGAAAAAGAAGCGCCAAGAATGGGACAGGACTCACACAGCCACAACGTACTTTGTTATTCTCAGCAATGCTTCAGGTACTCCAAAATTTCTTGGACAACTGCAGTGTTACCTGCAGTACAGCTTTTCTGCTTCAGCTGTGGGTCTGCACTTCCTCCCCAAAATCCTTACTGCCTTGTTGCACTGTCCATCTGCAAGATCTGTCCATCAGTTCAGAGCCTAAACAAGGCAGTGAATACTGTCTTGCTTTCAGCAGGCTGGTAGCATGTCCTGTGACCCTCTTGCAGCTGTTGAGGTAGTGGCAAAATAGTTTTACAATAGTTGGGGTCCCTCAAAAATGTTTTAACAAACAATAGTTCTTAAAAGGGTAGGTGGGGTTTCCAGATGTCAAAGAGGAGGATGTGTCTATAGAAAAGCTGTTGGATGTATCATGCTTTCCTGTATGTTGTGTTGTCTCTTGTCACATGCTCGAAAGCATGGGTACCATACAGATCATCTGTTGGTACTGAGGAAGCTGACTGCATAGATCTGATGACTTGTAAAGTGATACAGACCCTTGCTATCCTCGACTCACCTTTGGACCTCACCTTAAGAGCTTGCCATGAGATGTGCATACTACTACTGATGCTGCTGATGTATGGGGCACCCAAATTTTAAAGAGGAGGTTCTGGTGCACATCAGTGTCCCAAGACTTGCTTACAGATAACAGACTGAATAAACACTATGCTTAACAGCTGCACTGCTCTGAGAGTTCTTTGGTTACTCACCATTCTCCATATTTCCGTAATCATCAAAAAAACCCCATCCTGTCTTGGTTTACCATTTATGATTGGATTGCATTTTTCTAATCCACGTTGGAATGTAGGCCAGGATGTTTCTCCTGGATCCATACTCCAGAAGCAGTAATAGGCTAGAAAGCCCTTTGAGATCTCCCACTCACAACTCTGATGTGTGCAAGTGAGATATTCATATGTGCAGACAGCTCACAGTTGTGCTTTTCCCCAAAGTGTGCCAAGTTAATGCTGTGGGTAAATACAATACAATTCAAGTCCTTTGGAGGATGAACAAAGGTACGGTGTAATCACCTGGTCATCACAAAAGAAAGTTGGTACAATCTGTAAGTAGACAGGGGAGGGATGTTTTTGTTCTATATCTATGAATGCCTCAGCTCCAGTTTGAAGTTGCAACACCAAACTTCATGGCATTTCAAATAACTGCATGACTGTTAGAAGAATAAAGTCAGCATTTAGGCAGAAAGGGGCTCTTAATGTTAGTACTAAAACTAGTGGTTTTGCTTAAAAACAAAGGAAAAAGTGTGCAGTTTCAAGTTGAGGAAAACTGGATTCTCTAGCTCTGTGATTTAATGTGGCTGAAGAGTATTGTGGAGTTGGGGGGTGGGGAGGAGGAAACATTTACACTAAAATAAGGGGGTTTGATGTTTTGTAAATAACTTCTCTAAACCTAAAGTTTTTCATGATGGTATATAGCAACTGCTGGTAACTCTGAAAGTGATACCTTGGTATTACCTTCAGAGGACACATGCCTGCCTGTTGTTTTGGCATAGACCATCCTTCTGCTTGAGAAGGTATGTCTTATAACTGGGGGCCAAACCCCCAAATATTCATGCCTCTGACTGTAGAAATGAATGAATCTAGCAGGAGAGCAGACAACAGGTTGAGCTGTAGACACTGAAAACTTGAAGTTGATAGATTTTACCTTGGCTCTCTGCCTCTTCTCTCTGCTTTCACTATTGCCTTTTTTCCTGTATGCCTTACAGTCATGATGATTTGCAATCCTACTTCAAAAGCTGCACATTTGATTAATTTTTAACTAACCTTTAAAAATATTTCAAGACCCTTTAAACCAAATTTTTCCCCCCTCTTGGTTTAGAACACATGTGTACTGTGGTGTATTTTGATGACTGCATGTCAATACATCAGTGCAAGATCTCTTGCGAGTCCATGGGAGCTTCCAAATACCGATGGTTTCACAACGCCTGCTGTGAGTGTATTGGGCCAGAATGCATCGACTATGGCAGTAAAACTGTAAAATGTATGAACTGCATGTTTTGAAGCAGGAAAATTGTAATATAGAAATATTGAGGCCAAAGTAATCTCTCTCAGTTAAAGAGATGGGGATTGCAAATACTGTGTTTTGGTGGAGTGCCTACTGGTTGCAATTAAATGTACCTGGTTGAAAAAAGATGTATAAAATCTGAAAACTTTTTTTTCCCTTGTCTTTTAATTTTAATTCATGTAAGCAAGGCTAACTAGTAGAAGTTTCAACACTATGTTTTAAGTTTATTTCTGCTCAAATGGTACAGCCATGCTCATCCTTGCTGTTCTGATTGTTTTCCTTTAATTTGAAAGTATTGACTATACTGGTTTTCAGAATGTAGTACTATATCCTGTAGATTAGAGTAGGGAGACGTTACGAGTATGGTAGTGAGATTCCTATCACCTAAGCTCAACAGATAATGAAATGGCTGCTAGTTGGAGGGGGTTGTTTGTTCTAAGGGGCTGGTGGGTTTTTGCTTAGTTTTTGAGCTTGTGTTTTAACCTTATTACATTCCAGGTTTTCAGCTTAGCCTTCCATTGTGAAAATGGTATTTGGGCAAAAAGAAAAACTCATGCTTTCTTCTCAAGTTCAGCAAGTGGGCTGTCATGGATAAAATCCAAACTTCTTAGAAGAAGGGCTGCCCAACAAAATACTATGTATGGGGCACTTTTCTTCAAGTTTCATTTGCCTAGCTTTTGTAGGTACATTAGGGCATATGTTGTGTAATTTATATATTAAACAAGCAGAAAACCACCTATTCAGTCTTCTCTTAGATACCAAAATACAGTTGTTAATTGCAGTTGCATTCTGTCCTTTTGCACCGCTCTCTAGGGCTGCTTACTCCCCAGACATTCAGTCTAGTAAAGGAAACATGAAAAGTTACTATGGATTTAATGACTAAATGAATAAAGAAGAAGGAAATTGCATGACCAGTAAGTGGTATAGGGCTTGAGTTGAGCTGTTGGCAGCAGACATGTTCCCATTTAGTAGTTTGCTGTGAATATGTATTCCAAAATGCAATCACTGGCTTTTTTCCCCATGAAATGTTGTCACTGAGGAAGGGAAGATGTGTCCAAAAAGGCAGAATTAGGATGCTCTGAGTTTAGAACATCGTCCACTTTGCTAAGTAAGTGTTTTAATATGTTGGCAGTTACATAGCAGTTAGTATGAGCCAGTTAGGGCTCTGTTCATAATGGTACGAAGTACAAGCATAGAGTGTATAAGTAATTAATGATCAGCTTTTAGTATTTATAATGATGTGGGTTTGAACTCCTCGATTTCTTTTTTTAATGCATATGCACACACAAAAAAGACTTTGACCATTCATGTTTCTCTCACTAACCTCAGCCTAGAGGGATTAAGCTGTTTTATAGTCACACCTGTCTATCTGTACCATGTACAAATGAAAGCAGTCATTTTAAATTGATTTTGTTGAAAAGTTTGCCTGAATGTTGTCTTTTCATTTTTTCCTATGATACAGCTTTCATTAAGGTGAAATAATAATGATAAAAAAATCTACTCTTGTGAAATAACATTATTTTCTTCAGTCTCTTTTTCAGCTATAAAAAAGTACTTGAAAGATGAATGTTTTGAACTAGTGGATAATGGAATACCTTTATGCTTCAGATTTGCAATGAAGTAATAAATACTCATAGATGTGAATAGAAAAGCTTAGCTTATCATGAAGTTGTTCCTTCTATATTTGACAATTCATGTTATCTTTTCTTCCGCTTGAGTTTCTTAAAATGAATGGAGAGAAAGAATACGTTAGAGTAGCTGTGACTGGTTTTAGCTAGAGGGTGATGCATCATCGATCTTGACCAAGAGAGGAGACACAAAGTAAGCGTTGCTAAATCAGCATGCTTCAGATTCTTACAATGGTGAATTATTAGAAGCACCACAGTAGTTCAGAATCTTCCTGGGGGGAAAAACAGGGCTGATGTTTCTGGTCAGGCACCTGCTGCCCCATGGATCTGTGACACCGTCTCCATTTACATCATTAGAATTTCACCGTGAGGTCAAGTCAAGGGAACAGCAAGGGTGACAGCGGGAGGGATATGGGGAACTAGCTTAACAGGGGTCCAGGAAACAGTGTAGGGAACGGCATAAAAATGTAAACACGGTTATTTGTGTGTAATGGCCTGAGAGCAGAAAGTGAGGATGCACACTTTGCCTTATTTTTTGTAATTCCTGATGCTGTCTAGTTTGCTGTAAGCGTTGTGTGTATGCAAATGTCATACAGCAACATCCAGTGTATTTTATTACAATGAGTGTGTTAAGAGGTATTTTAATAAAAAGACATTACTGATTCTTATGTTTTCTTTTTCAAGATTTTCTTTTGGAAAGTTTTTTATTTAGTCTTGCTCATTTTGCAAGAAAAATCATAATTCATTGCGAGGGGGGGGTGTGGGGGTATTTCACCTGTGTCTGGATACCAGCAAAGCATCACCTACACAAGTGCTTCAGAATACTTCAGAATACGTTTTAAAAACTTTTCTGGCATCAGCCAGTTTTATTACTGTCCTTTGGGGTAGAATTGTAAATTACTGAGCTTCAAGGGAAGCCAAAAAAGGTAATTCATATAATAAGAAATTACACAAATCCCTGGTCTGCTTGGGTTCTGACTGAGAAGGGGTTGAAGGCCTTTTGCTATTCTTTCTCTAAAAGTAGCTAAAGTTTTTGTTTTGTTGTTTTGGGTTGCATTTGTTTGTTTTTCCCCACAGGCACTTGTTCCGAAATTTCAGAAGCATTGACACTGTGCAGAGAGTGAGTACAATGGCCATAATGTGCCATTGTGTTCCTGTCATTTCTTAGGGCTCCTGGCTTGATTTTAGTACATTTAATAGATTTCACATCTAGTACTTAAAAACGAAATACAAGAACACCTGCTTGTATCTCTGATAACGTATCTATGGTCTCTCCAGTATCCATGTCAAAGTTAATGGCTGCTTTGGTACCTGGCTCCCAAGTCACTCTTCCTGCTGGTTGGCTCATCTGGCTGGATGTTTGCTGGTGAACACACGCTGACACACGGAGACACACAACACATATGCTCTGGTCTCTCCAGCCACAGGCACCCAAGACATGCAGGCCCCTGTGACTTGTCAAGTCTTTCCAGTGGCTGGCACTTGGATCTACATGCACAGAGACCCCCTCACCCAGGAGGAGCATTAATGAGGAAACAGGACAGACCATGGTGATGAGGTATCTGCAGGGCACTGTCAGACAAGTGTACTGACCAGCCCCTTTTATCTTCTTACCCTCTTTTTCTCCACATTTGTTCCTCCCTTTCACTGCCTTTAGTCTTTCTGCTACAAGCCCTGCAACAGGTCTTCTGCCACCCCAAAATGCTATTCCCTTGCATCCCAGGTATCCCATACTCACAGTGGTGGCTGTCATGGGACAGCCCTGGGGGGAGTTCATTTCTGTGGGTACCATATTGGAGTTCCTCCATCTATCATTGCAGTGCTGTGCTCATTTGTGTTCATTTCTGCTCATGAAGCGGAGTGTTGATCACATAACCTAACATTTGGCTGATCATAATGTTGGTTGGATTTTGCAAAGGAAATACTTGTGCCAAGATTTGCCACATGCTCTTGGCATGGTATCTTTCACCAGGCAGTACATCATTAAAATTTGCACCACTTGCGCAGGAAAACATACTTTGATACAAGATGTTGCAAGGAACAAAGCAAATCCCTTTTTCAGACAAATCTAAGATATAAGGCCACCAAGACCAAAGTTTTCTGACATCCTTTTCATTTCTTAAGTATTTTTAAAGTTTCTTCTTGCTACAATGATTTGGGGATCGTAACTCCACAGTAGTGCTCATGGGAGTTGTACAGGCAGAATTCAGTGTCAAGACAGCTCTTTCGGCTCTCCTGCTATGTGGGACATCACATAAATAACAGACTTTTCCCGCCAAAGTGACTACCTAATCTGCTTTTTTTTCTAGGCTTTCCTTTATATATTCAGGCTCTTTTTATGTCACGTGGGTGTTTCAGTATGTGGCCAACTAGTTTCTTTCATAAATACACCTCCTTATGACTGCTGTGTATTCCTTTATTGCTAATGAGAATTACATAGTGTATCTACAGCTATCCCAGTAGTACAGCCCATGTAGGCTCCCATCTCTCCAAGACAAACTGAACCCCAGAACTGGCTTTCTTGAAGTAGGAGTGTCACTGAGAGGGAATGGGAAGGAATCATTAACACAGCTCTGCCTTCTTCCCCTTTTTTTCCTGTCAAAATGCTTTCTAATGCTTCCCTCCATTATTGTTTTAGTACGTTTATGAAGGTCAGGTACATCAGCAAGACTGAAATTCAAAGCAGAGAGCTTGCCACCTTAGGCTCCTTACTTTGTTCTTCAAGCATTAAGAATTTACAGAGTGAATGTGGGGGCATGGAGTGTGTAAGGAAGCGCCTCGGTCTGTGTAAGTAGGCCTCAGACCACAGTAAGTTTTGTAGGTCAGAAGTCATCCAAATCTGTTTCACACAGCAGTAAATTGGTATTGTCAGCACTACACACAATCACTTGTTTGTCTTCAAAAAATGGAGAAGATTCATTCTGGGCTCATTAGATGATGGGCCTATTGTGTGTGAACTTGTGTTGGCAACCGCCTGTGATAATACTCTTCAGAGTCAAGAGCCTCTGGCAACTCACTTCAAGTGGAGATCCTCACAGGAAATCATCTCAAATTACTATAGGATGTTACTGAAATAACCTTGCTCTATTCTTTTGCCAGAAGCAGCAGCCTTTGGGTAACAAAACCCCAACATTAGCGGTGACATTAAGTTAAAAAAACCAGTAAGCCCTTGCTGTTAAACCATTTCTTCTGGATGGGAGGAAGTAAACTGGAAGTTGCATGGTTATGTAATATGTTGTGGAGACAATATCTCTGTGCTCCAACACTAATCAGAGTGTTTATAACTCTCTCTTTTGTATTTCCTACTGAATAGCACAAATTCCTGTGGGGGACCTCTTGCATTACCACAGGAGGTTGCACAAAGAGCCCATTTGACAGGGACTAAGCAGCATTGACTCTCGAGTGAATAAATGAAGCAGGTGGCATGCTGCCACAGTATTAATGTGTCCAATCACCCAGGGATTATGTTTGAGGCTGTGGGAATGAATCGGTCTGTTTTTTACTGAAACAAATTCCCTTGTTGATGAGGAATCCTGAAAAGGATTCAAATTATGCAGGTGCTTAACATAACAGAAACTCGCATTGTAAAAGGCAGAGAATACAAAATTTAACACCACTGTAAACAGGATGCATGTGGAGATGGAGATGTATTCCTTGGCACAGGTCACATTCAGAGCATTTCTCCACTTTCTTGTATTCCAGAGAGTGGTAGAGACGAGCGGGTAAGGATTCAAGATCAGACTCATTATGCAAGATGAAACTGAAATAAATGGCTGCAAACGGAGAGGTCACGAGCAACGTTATTCGTGAGGCAGGCTGGATGCAAACACCTCTAGAGCTGTGTCAGCTCTTCCGTTGGTACTGAGCGGTTTTGACGTCTGCTGGCTTCCCACCGTTACAAATTTTGCCTCACAACGGGTTTAGTCATACACCGTTTTAGTCACGGCTAATGCTTACAGTCCCTGGTACGTCAGTTCAAGAGAGCAGTCGGCTCTCCTCCCGTCCTCAGAGGCTTCAGAAATCTTCAAGGGGCTGTTGTATCGGTGTTTCCCGGGGTCCCCTTAGGCCGCCCCCCGCTGCCCGCAGCCAGCCCCAGCTCACCTCCCCGGCCCTTGGGGCTTCAGGAAACGAGGGGCGAGGAAAGAGGGCTTCCCCCGTCACCTGGGAGTTGTAGTCCTGGGGCCGCCGGGGCACCCCGCCGGTGGGGAACTACAACACCCGTCGCGCCTTGCGCGCAGGCCCGCTCTGCTCCCCGCCCCCACAGCATTGCGCCTGCGCAGAGCCGCGCTCCTCCGCCGTCTGGGAGGAGCGGGGGGGGGGCCGCTGGCCCATCGGCGCACGCTCCCCTCACGCCCCAGGCCGCCGCGAGCTCCGGAGCGAGGCGGGTGGCGCCTGCGCCGTGACGAGCTCGCGGCGCTGCGCGGCCGTCCTTTGCGAGCCCGGGCGGCGGAGGCGGAATGGGGTGCGAGGCGGAGCCCCGGGAGTGAGGCCGAGGCGGAGCCGCTGCGCCGGCAAGCGGGACCCCGGCGGTGAGTGCCCGCGGGTGCGGGGACACGGCACAGCCCGGCGCGGGTGCGGAGGCCAGGGCGGGTGAGGGGCGATAACGGCGGGGGTGCGGAGCCGCCCCCAGGCGCGGCTGCCGGGTGGGGGAGGGGCCGGCCCGGGCTGCCCGGAGCTTGGGGGAGGGGAGGGGCCGCTGGGGACTCCGCCTCCCCCGCCCTGTTCCCGGTTCGGCAGGCCTGGGGCACTCCGCTCGGGCTTCCCGCTGCGGGATCAGCTCCCTCCGGCGGCCCGGAACAGCCTGGCCCTTTCCAGCCCGGCGCGTCCCAGCGGCGACTCTTCGGCGGAGCTGCTCAGGAGCGGGGCCCGGCCCCTGTGCCTTGCTTGCCGGCCCTCATGGGGACCGGCGGCGAGGACCAGGGTTCTCTTCTGCCTGGTTGTCTGGAACGTTTATGCGCTTTGAATCGTGCGGGTTCACTGTAGCTCAGGCTCAGTTAGAGGTCTGCTGTGGTTTAGCTTTCTGTGAAGTTGCTTTGGGGTTGGCTTTCGAGGGGGAAGAGGTCATGAGGTTTTACTCATTTACCTTCACCTAGAGGTCACATCTTGAAAAATAGAAAACTTACTCCTGCATCTAGGATGTTTAACAGGTTTTAAGGACGCTGTGTTTTCTACCTAATAATGTTGTTCAGAAAGCATGTGTTACCATTCATCATATGTCAGCATGCGATTTGTGAGTAAAGAAGCAGACCTGGCTTTTAAGTGCTTATGCATGTCAAAGGAAACAAAAAAAATAAAAAAAGCCAGCAACCCACACTGATAATCTGAAAGTATCTGTACATGAGGATGGTGTGGTTTGGACACATACCTCCCAACCTGGTGTCCCTGAGGCTAGTCATCGTCCTTAATGAGCAGTAATAAAACGTAATAGGTGAAGAAGGCCTTTTTACCAGATGGATTTGTGCAAGTCGTTTGTTCCAGCACAGCAAAACAGCCATAATTGAATTCTCGTACCTATTTCTAATCTGGAAAGCCCTTGAAATGCTTGCCGTGCATATTTGGCATTGCTGTAATGCACCCACTCAGAGCTGATATTAAGGCTCTCTCAGATATGATGCAGGACTGTAATGGATGTGAATTTATTAGCAAGCTTAGAGAAAAATGGCA